CACACACACACACACACACACACACACACAAACATAGGCAAACATTAAATGCCTTGAAAAAATGAAATACAACTACACAGACAAAGACAAAGGCAAAGGCTTCCCCTTTCATCTCCTGCTCTGGGGGTAGTGCTCATCTTAAATAACAACAACAACACTTTATTTATATTCTGCCCTATCTCCCCAAGGGGACTCAGAGAGCATTCCAGCATCTATCTATCTATCTTGACAGATGACTGGGACTGCTCGTTTGCTTCTATTAGCTTCCCGCTACATGGCAGTGATATCGACTTCTCCCATGAAAGTTCCATGTGAGAGCTACGTGCCTTGTAACCTTACTTTCCGGATATCCCTCATACAGTGTGAACTTGACACTGGGAGGGAAACAGAATGAGGACGCTCATCTCTAACTTTCACCACAACGCCAGTTGATGAGCTACTGACAACTGCCACTGCTCGTTCATATCCACTGGCTTCCCACTACACGGGATATCTCTTGTACTAACATCTGCACGCCTTGTAACTGCACGCCTTGGCAATGATACCAACATCTGCACGCCTTGTGACCTTACTTTTCGGATATCCCTTGTACAGCACAAACTTTGCACTTGAAAGGAAATGGAATGAGGACGCTCATCTCTAACCTTCACCACCATGGCAGTTGATGAGCTACTGACAACTGGCACTGCTTGTTCGTATCCACTGGCTTCCCACTACACGGCAATGATACCAACTTCTGCGTGCCTTGTAACCTTACTTTCTGCATATCTTTCAGCGTTATCTTTGCACTTGGAGGAAAATGGAATGAGGATGCTCATCTCTAACCTTCACCACAATGACAGTTGATGAGCTACTGACGACTGGCACTGCTCATTCACATTCGCTGGCTTCCCGCTACACGACAATGATATCAACGTCTGCACACCTTGTAACCTTTCTTTTCGGATACCAACTTTCCAACAACTGACAATTGGCAATGATACCAACTTTCTGCATATCTTTTGTACAGCACGAACTTCGCACTTGGAGGCAAATGGAATGAGGACACTCATTTCTAACCTTCAGCACAACGCCAGTTGATGAGCTACTGACAACTTGCACTGCTCATTCACATCCGCTGGCTTCCCACTACACAGCAATGATACCAACTTCTGCGTGCCTTGTAACCTTACTTTTTGGATATCCCTTTTACAGCACGAACTTCCTACTTGGAAGGAAATGGAACGATGACACATCTCTAACCTTCTCCACAATGCCAGTTGATGAGCCACTGACACCTGGCACTGCTCGTTCACTTCCACTGGCTTC